ATGGAAATATACATATTATTTATTTTTATTTATATTTATATATAATGTTGGAATTTGGAGTGATAAATATGATTTTTTTGAACTTTAAAAGATAGATATAAGAAACCCCTTTTTTACACAAGTCCGTCACTTCCTATACATTTTTAGTTTACTTGTGTTACAATATTTATAAAAAAAAATGTTACAATATTTTTAGACAATTTCGTCAGTATTTAATCATACTTGTCCTCCAATTTATCCTCCACAAAAAGTTAATTATTTTTTGCTTTGGCTTGGTAAGTCACCCGTTAACGCCTGGATTTAGGAGTAAAAAGGATCTTCTAATTAGTAACTTGAGTCAAAATGACTCAAGCTAAATAACATTAAGCTGAGAAATCATCATGCACAACGGAATAGAATCAGATAGACTCGAACAATAATAGAAAAAATCTAATACTTTAGAGGACGAGCTTTGGCACCCTGGCAAAGAAGTGATCGATTGGATCCTCCAATACTATCTTGTTATAATTGGAGTGCTTCATTCCCTTTCATGTGTAACCCTGGTCGGAAGCCACAGCAATCGCTAATAGTGTAACATCTCTGATTAGTCCCACATCAAAAGTGGCCAAGATTAAAATTGACTTATAAGGGTCTGATGAATGTATTAACCGAACTGCTGAGATGAAATGATCATGTAGCAGCACCCCGTTGCAAACTAGCGAACACCAGGATACTTCAAAACTTTGGTATCGTAATTTATCTCTGCACCGTCGTCTCCAATTCCATCGGAAGAGAAAAAGAAATGCTCCGAATACTCGTTAAAAGACACCCGACAAGATGAAATGTTGACAAATATGACCAAGTAAAAGAAAGATGGAACGCTGAAGAACATCAAGGAGTCGGAGGAACCACACTGCTGGCGTATCTGGTGACTGCATCCAAGATGTCAGTGTACGAAACGACGCCGACCAAGATGTCATCCTCCGATTCCGAATCGATCACCCATACGTGGGTGGCCCTGTAGGACAGCATCTGGGCCATGACAGCCGCCAATGAACTCGTGTGCTTGCACGTCAAAAGTTTACTCCGCCCCTTGTACATGCTCCTCGGCCGCCCGGTTTGCACCTGCTTCAACTGGTTATCGAAGAACCCGATGCTTCTGCTGCTAAACTTGGTCAGCCTGGGAGAGGCTCCAACGGTGACAACCTCCACTGGCAAATCGATAGGCTGATCAGGCGGGTCTACCGGTGAAGAGCAGCCATTTTCATCTGTGCCGATAGCAAATTGTCCTGCTGATAGATTTGCCATGGCCCATGCAGTCGTCACGTAGTCACATTTCCATAATTCGTACGCAGAGATGTCTCCAAGAATCTTGTGCGAGCCATCACTGGTAGTCTCAACGACTGCAATCGCACATGGGCCGTGAGGGATCTTACCGATGGCTTCAAGGGCGGGCGAGAGGGCTTCCACGTAAGAATAGTGCGGATCAACGGCCCCAAGAGAGGTGATGGAAGACAGAGGGATGGGAGCAAGAGCACCAAGGCAGCCGATTAGGAAGCGGACGACATCTTCTCGGGAGAGACAGCAGAAATTGTTCTGAGGAAGAGAAGAAGAGGACGGTGGACTGCTGCTGGTTGCTGCACTCGTGGCCTTGGTGGTCTCTATGTTCCTGAGCCATTTGCCATTGTAGAGCATGGAAAAGGGCTTGCTGACGCCTTTGCATGCAACACTTCTGCGCACAAGGAGGCACCGAACACCTAGCTTCATCAGCTCGAGCGCATCGATTAACCTGGTGAATCCGAAACTTGAATTAGACCTGCATAATACTAGAAGTAGTTCCCGAAAGAGCCTCTAGGCCAGGTTTATTCCTGAGGAGCAATCCGAATCCTACCAGTTTAAATACTGTTCGAACTTTAAATTAATTGTTGATTAGAATGCTTCATCTTGTAACCTTTCGGTTAATGATTGTCTTTGTATCATTACAAGTCAATGATCTTAGTTCTTCAAATCAATAATCTTGATGACCACTGCAATCAATCGTCTCTATAGTTGATCAGTTAGAATTTGAACCCACTTGGGGTTAGAATTTGAACCCACTTGGGGTAATACATGAGGAAATGTCATGCAACAATTAAAGATTTAGGCCTTCAGAACCACTGTTAGTTTGGCAAGTCCAATAGTCCCATATCGAGAAAATCAAACTTGTTATCTCACATTGGAACTATAAATAAGGGCCTGAGCTTTGAAGTCAGATGCACCACAAAAGGTTTGTTGTTTGGAACTATAAATAAGGGCCTGGGCTTTGAAGTCAGATGCACCACAATAAAAACTTAAATGTTTGCTTTGGTTTAAGTCTTAAATAGTTTGGTTTAGGAACATGCATTTGTAATTATCCCTCTTTTGCAATAGTAATTTGTCTTTCGTCCGTGGATGTATGTCAAAGTCAATTGACCGAACCACCGATTTCCAGATGTCGAGGAGCAAAAGTGATGGATTTCTAAATGTGACATCTGGAAATCGTGCCAAGCCAAAGCACGATGTCCAGATGTCAAGGAGCAAAAGTGAAGGATTTCACATACACCAGCAGTAAAGATGCCGAATAGGTAATGTGACAACAATGTGCAAAAGTGTAGAGACAAAAAGGGTTTCCTCGAGGGAGAAAGAAGGAAATAGGAAGATTCATCCTGAAATCAATTGTCGTGCGACAATGAGACAAAGACTAGATTGACCAAATCAAGCGAATCATTCAAGAACAAAGATAGAGGTGTTTGATTCCAGGAAGTGAGAATGAATTACTACCGCAAAATAAAAGGTTCTCTGGAATTAAATCGGATATAACGATGAAGGAACATAACACAATCAATTTTAACCGATCGTACAGAAAGAAGGAAAGAAAACGATCAAGAACGAGGCATTTCAAGATTCCAATGAGGCAGATCACCAAAGCCAATATTCCAATGAGGCATTTTAAGATTCTTTAAGAAAATTGCCACAAAAGATCAAGAACGACGTTATCGATCGATCAAAGAAGTACATCCGGAAAAAAGAAGAGCAGAGAGCAGAATCAGAATAAAAGGAATCAGATTTCCCACCTCACGCAGGGATCCACCTCTCTCAACAAGTTCGGATTGGGCGTCACCACCTCCGAGACCGGGGTCCTCATGGCCCGGTCACGATCCCCGCCGGCCCTCGCGAGGAAGGCCACCACGTCCAGCGAGTTGAGCATACCGACAAACCTCTCCTCCGAGGACGGCGCTGCCCCCGCCGCGGGTATCCGATTGTGCCAGACGGGAATGGCCCCCTCGGAGGAGCCGGCGATGGCCCGGGCGGCGGCCTCGAGTGTCTCCACCTCGGAGAACTCAATGAGATCTGGCTTCCCCAGCGTCAGGTCACCGATGACGCGGTGGAGGAATACGAGGGCCATGGAATCGGCGCCGCCGTTCGACTGAGGAGGAGGCAGAGAGAGACGTAGAGTCTTCGCCGGGAAATGGGAGAGAGAGAGACGAAGAGATCGTTGGTGTATTCAATTGGTCGAGTGATGTGATTGGGCGGGCAAATCGGAAAGAAAAAGCAATAGAATATTCTACTCTTCTATACATACCAAAATATCTACCTGCCTTTTCATTTTTACACGTGGAACCCAAATTAGGGCAAGATACCATTCAGTCGTCGGAAAGTTATGGGTACGTTCGAGGGTAATTAACGAGGAGTCGATAGACATCGGAATTTAAAAAGGTGTTCGGTTGGTTGGATAGCGCTCGTCTATCTGCACCAAGACAGGGGACACAACATAGACGAGTGGGCTCCACTTCTTTTTCATCGGGGCCCACCTTTTTTAACGCGAGAGAATAGCTTGGATCCTGGCTCGGTCAAAGACGGATGGGCTCCACCATTTTGTAGGGCAGAGAGACGGATAATAACCCGTTATCTTTTTATTTTTATTTTTATACAATTTTTTTCATACAGGCAGAGGGCAGGGAAAGAGTTTAGGATGACAAGATGAAGCAGTCGTGGAAAATTCAATCCATGTTTAGATTTAACAAACTAATACATAATTAATGTGGGCTGCGATGAAAATTTTAGTAGGCAAAATTGGTCCAGCGGAATTTATTTTTCAGGAATTTGTCACGTTTGAAAGTGGAAACAAATTTTTTTCTAAGAGAAAGCAATTGGAGAATCTCTTTATGGTTTAAAGCAAGCCCCAAGAGCTTGGTAAAAGAGACTTAGTTCTTTTTTATTAAAAATAATTTCACAAAAGACAAGATTGATACCATATTGTTTATCAAGAACTTTGAAAATAATTTTCTCATCGTTCATATTTACGTTGATGATATTATCTTCGGTTCTACGAATGAATCTCTTTGTGAATCTTTTGCTAAAACTATGAGTCTCGAATTTGAAATGAGTTTAATGAAAAAATTAACATTCTTCTTAGGCTTAAAAATTAAGCAACTAAGCAATGACATCTTTATTAGTTAAACTAAATATGCTATAGATTTGCTAAAAAAATTTAATATGGATAGCTCAAAAGCTATTAACACTCCTATGAGCATCTCCACTAAGTTAGAAGTTGATGAAAGTGAAGAAAGCTTCGATCAAAAAACTTATAGGGGTATGATAGGAAGTTTACTTTACCTCACTGTAATTAGACTAGATATCATGTTCAGTGTAGGACTTTGTGCTAGGTTTCAATCAAACCCTAAGATATCTCATCTCAAAACGGTTAAAAGAATACTTAAATATATTAAAGGTACCACAAATCTAGGATTATGGTATCCAAAGACTGAGAATTTTGAGTTAATTGTCTATGCTGATGCAGACTTTGTTCGGTGTAGACTAGATAGAAAAAACACATCATGGACATGTCAATTTTTGGGACATGCCCTTGTTTCCTGGTCATCTAAGAAACAAAATTCGATTGCACTATCAACAACCGAAGTTGAGTATATTGCAGCTAGTGCATGCTATGCATAAGTTGTATGGATGAAAAACACCTTAGAAGATTATAAAGTTTATCTTAAAAATATTCCCATTAAATGTGATAACACAAGTGCAATATGTTTAACAAAGAATCACATTCAACACTCAAGAACAAAACATATTAATATTAGACATCACTTTATACGAGATCATGTCACTAATCATGATGTAATCATAAAGTTCATTGATACTAAACATCAACTAGCTGATATTTTTACAAAACCTCTAAGTGAAGAACAATTTGATTTCATTAAAAGAAAATTAGGAATATTGATATGTTCGAATGCTTGAACTCATTTAATTTATTTTTCGAATCTTCTTGATTCATTCAATTGCTATAATGAGAGTTTTACACTATTACATGCCTTAATAACATGTTGGAAATTATGTGTTTTGGATATAAAAATTTTCATGTTGATGAGCATGTTTTATCTTCATGATTGTGTTTAAAAATCTATAACAAAACCTTGTATGAATGCATAAAAGTGTTAAATTTCATTTTCGGATTCTCTTAACAATTGGCATCCTAACAATCAGATTTTCTTGATACATTATTTTCTTCCAGACTTAATGTAACTTTCATAACCATGTGTCATATCGAGTTTGATTCATATCATTGATTTTTGACATATGGAATTAATTAACAAATACATCTCTCATACACTTATCGTGTGAAAAATATTTTTTCGAGAAATGGATTTGTTGAAATGATTCATTCTTATAAATTCCTTCTTGAAAAAGAAAGATATTATTTTTACTTGCAAAGATTTGTTTCACATAATATCTTGATCCTTATAAAAATGAAGCGTGATTTAATCTCTTATCGATTTTAACTTCATTCGAATAAACTCACAAATAGCCTTCCTCCTTCATGCAAAAAGATAATAACAAATAAAAAAGAAGAAGTATTCAAAGCTATCTCCCAGTCATCTTTTTCTTGAGATGTTTGTATAATTGGTATCCTATCACTCATTGTTGAAAAATGACATGAACCTTATTATGGCATGAATCATTGCCGCACTTATGTTTAAAATTTGTTTATATCATTCTCCTTTTTGTTGATAACAAAGGGGGAGAAATATATGAATTGATGATAGCTATGAGTGATATATTTGAATTGATAGCTATGAGTACCATATTTAAATTTGAATTATGTTAAGATATCAAAAGAAACTTGCATCGAAATATATGGTAAATTGATGATAAAAATGCTATGATTGCCATATTTACACTATGTCATATATGCATCATGTTAAGATATCAAGAACAAATTGATATGCATCATGTTAAACACTTGAAATGTTTGCATCATGTTAAGATATTAAGAATTTACATCGCAATTTTACATGTTGATATATTGCCATGTGATGAAATGCTATGATTGCTAAACAATTGAAATATTTGCATCACGTTAAGATATCAAGAATTTGCATCGCAATTTTACATGTTGATATCTTGCCATGTGATGAAATGTTATGATCGCTAAACAATTGAAATGTTTGCATTATGTTAAGATATCAAAAGCTTACATCGTAATTTAACATGTTGATATCTTAACATATGATGAATTGCTTCGATTACTATCATTCATATTTGAAATGTAAAAGTTGAAAATGGATGTCAAGCCTAGACATCATTTTCAGAGAGATACTTATCAATATGTCTCTTGAATTCAAAGGCTTTGAATTCAAGAATGACTTATCTCAAGTATGGCAAATAGATAGGGGGAGTTAAGGTTAACTCCGTTAACAATTGATTGTCATCATAAAAAAGGGGGACATTGTTGGATCTCGGATTTTGATGATGAAGTCAATTGTCATTTGTTATCTAATCCATATGTTGAGATAAATGTGCAGGATTAACTATGATGAAAGTAAGACATGCAACAGGAGTTATGTTGGAGTCAAGACCATAATCACGTTGGGGGTTCGAGAGTTCGATGGAAGTCCGGACGGTCGTCGGAGGTTCTACGAGAACAAATTCGAGAAGTCTAGGAGCTTGCCAAAGAAGCTCGTCGGAACTCGCCAAGTGGATCGTCGCAAGTCCAGGAGTTTGCCGGAAGTCCGCTGGAGCATCGCCGAGGGTTCGTCGGAAGTTCGCCGGAAGCTCGTCGGAAAAAGCGATTGATGCACTAGAGTAAGCTGTAGTATAATGTCTTAAAATATCGTAGTTAGCATGATGATTAAGTTAGAAATGGGAGATGATCTCATTAACTTAATCTTGGGACAATTATGCCCTTGACAGACCCAAATTAGGCCGAATGGATCAGCCCATTTGGACCCAGATTGGCACCACCTGGGTCAGCAATGGCACCGCCCATGGGCTCAATCTCCGAGCGAGGCTGGGCGATGGTACCGCCCCTGTCAGGCGGTGGTACCACTACCCAGCCTCTAGTGGACATCGGTGACCTCATCGGAGGACGAAGCCAAAAGTGGATGTAGGTCAAGATTGACCGAACCACTCTAAAATTGTCGTGCTCTTTGGTTTGCATTTATTCTTGCTATTTACCTTACTGCAAACCTCCATATGTGCTTTACTTTCTCATTACTTTTGCTGCACTCCTTTACGAACTCGTTTTCAAGTTAAGTTTCCGAAAACGACTTTACATCGGAAACGATTTTATCATACGAAAGTTTTTAAACCGACATTGGTTTTTCAGCTGCACTAATTCACCCCCCACCCCTCTTAGTGCTCTTGATCCTAACAATAGGTGCCCAGCAAGCCAATCACGTGAGTGATGGCACGTGTGACTTGACATGGAACCTTTTAGCTTATTATATTAATTGTTGCATGTATACATGTATATATTGTTATGTCCTTGGATCTGTGCAATGAGAATCGGATCGTGATGAGATCACGATAATGAGATTGATTCACCTTTAAACACAGATCCTAAATAATTCCAATCATAAGTTACTCGAGAGGGACATCGAGATAACCGGATAGACTGGTGTGCTATATACCCGTCCATATGATGGATGTAGCTGGTCTCATAGCTGCTCGTGTGGGGATACTAGGGATACAGTACAGGTGCTCATTGGAGAATGAGTTCACTGATTGATCCGCTTACGGAATGCTAGATGATTGATGATGTCTTATTGTCAAACAGCGATTCCGTAGTCCTAGTGGTGTATTTGGTCCTTAGACTTGAGACACCAAGGATGTCCTATATGAGTGCTCCACTCTTTGATACCAGACTTATAGGTTTGAATATCCCAAATCTAGTACAGTTGATCATTGAGAGTGGCAGTTGATTTTACGAGGGCTATTGAGTGTCGATAGAGGATCATCTACTCTCGGCGTCATGAGAGGAATATCCCATGTGTTCTTGCTCAGACAAATCCCTAGTCAGGGTCATTCGGATTGAGAGAGAAAGAGTTCTCTAGGATTGAGAGAGAATCCGATTAGAGCGGGACTCGTGTAAAAACCGTATGGGTCTAACAACACCATGCCCGATATACGGTCTCTAGGATATTGGATGGATGAGGGACTATAGGTACATGGTAACTGAGGAC